AATGTCACCCACTTCACGCACCGTGATTGTCTTGCCGGACAGTTACCCAGCCTGGATCTTGATGGTCAACCTCAGTGGCCACTTAACATTCCACGAGGAAGGCAGACCACGATGTCATCATCTTGTCCTCTGCAGCCCCCTTACGACCCTCCCTCCACGTCGTCACAGGGTCCGCAGGCGCAGCAGAGACAGCTCTCCTGCAGCCAGCCCTGCCCCCTCCAGACCCGCAGCTCTGCCCGGGCTCTGCCTCCGTCCTCTCCACTGCCCCAAGTTCCCAGACGTCAGCGAGGGCATCTCACTCCGGTCCCCTCCTGTGTGACGTCTTCCAAGTGAGCGAGGGAGTGAATGAAGTCTGCTCTTCCTCGAAGGACTGAAAGGACTCGGGGGTCGCAGCATTTGGGGAACTCTGACTTTCCCGTGCTGCATCTTGGCCGCCACTGAACACATGCAGTAAGTAAAACACGGAGTGCTTTTCTTCACGCAACTTCATCTTGCAGACGATGTGCTAAGGCTCAGAAGGACGGAAGCCCGCCTCGGTCTCACAGCCCTCAGGCCTCCTAACTCCCCACACCGTGCCTCTTTTTGTCCCCACTTTTCCTCTGCACATCCCACCGAGCTGTGACCCTTGGCCAGCAGTCAGCCTTTGTTCCTTGGAGCTGCTCTCCGAACCCTAGTCCCCATGCCTCATTTGCCCATCCCTTCCCTCTGGGCTCAGAGTCCTGCCCGCTTGTGCTAAGCCCCCAGACCACAGTGCTGCACACCCTCCCTCTCTCCGACGTCAGGAGCGTGTCTGCACTGTGCACACTGACTGCTTTTCTGCACTCAGTGATGTGGGGCTTGGATGCTGGTCGCAGCTGGAATGCCTCTGGTGGATAACCACCAGTCCTCTGAAACCTCCTGCCTTTTCTTCCTCACTGACACGCAGAGATCACCAGGACCCACTTCACCTCCCTCAGACCAGCAGCAGAAGAAACGTGGAGCCCCCAGCAATTCCCACCAACCCACCCTGCCTCCCCCAGACACCTGTATTCCTGGGCACTGACTGGCATGTCCCCCACACGATACTCACCCTAGGGGCCTAGCATCACGTCAGGGCTGTGAGCTTCCCTCTCTTCCTAGACTGCACCATGTGGCACTCCTCGAGGTCCCCACCTCCCCAGTGCACCGTGCCCTGAATGCTATGGGACCTCAGCAAATAGCTGTACCTCAGGATTGGTGGGTGTACACAAGTCCAGAATCTTTTAGAAACCAGCAGACCCTCTTTTTAGGCTTAATATTACTAATTCTAAAGAGTCCAGTCAAAGCAGTTAAGTTCTTCCCAAGCTTAGAGCTGTTAACAAATGACACAGCCCTGGATTTTGCAGTGAAATCGTGGAAACTGTATATTCCCGTGGAACCACAGGAAGCCTATTTTCATACGACGCTGCGGGCTATTTTGGGATTGACTAGCTCACAATGTTACAGGCCTGTAAAGAGTGTAAGGCTGGAAGCTGGTGGTGAGTTAAGCCCAGACTTTGGTCAGAGAAATGAGTTTGGAGCAAACAGCAATTACTGGAGAGAGATGGGTGCCCAGACCACGGGCTCCTGAGACCACGGCTTCCACGTGGCACTGCAGCAGGAAGTGGGTCACAACCTCGCATCCATGACCCAGCCACGCCCTGGTGATGACTGCATTCCACCCCTCCCCGGTTCCTTGCAGGTGGATTCACCAGCGGTCTTTCTCTGCTGTGATATTTATCTCACCTTCAAAAGAATCCTATATTTGCTGCAGTGGCTGCTGGAACTAACAGCAGCTGTCTGGACCTCCTCAGTTCAGGGGTCTCTGTGGGCATTCGAGAGGCTGACGGGCAGGGAAGACCACCAGAGCCTTGCCGGCCGATCCTCGGTCTCCACCCCATCCCCACTTCACTCCCAGTTAAATGTCCTCACTTACTCTCCAGTCCAAATGGCCCTTCCACGGGGCCCTCCTTCATCTGTGCACCAGGTTGAGTTTCCTGCTTACCTGGTTTCCTACCTTCCTCTGTAGCCCTCATTATGGGCAGACTATACAGTCGCTGTGCAAATGCTCAGGGCTACCACATGGGTGTGCAAGCCGTGCAGTGTACACGGGCAAGTGAGGGCTGGGATCCAGGCTGTGCAGGTGCACAGGAAATATGGACTGAGAGAACAATTTAGGCAGGCCGGGGCTCCAGGCTCTAGTGTGGGCATGATGCATCCCATCCCCAGCTTTCCTCACTACAAGCCCGGGGCACACGCAGTTCACCTGGTCCGCAGACATGGGCAGGGGTTTGCTTGGTGTCTGAGACAAGAATTCTGCCCAAAGCCTGGTGGGGAAGACCAGCATATGCATGAAAGATTAAAGCCCACCACAATGCAAGCTGTTAAAGTACCTGCAGAGCACCCAGGGGAGAAAGCAGAGGAAGGGAAATGGCCAGTTTCACTGTGGGCAACACAGAGCAGCCCCTCCGAGGAGGGGTGGGCTCTTCCAGGGAGATGGGCACGCACAGGTCCCGTGTGAGGCAGGGCTGGCAAGGCGGCCGCTCACAGTGGGCCTGACTGGGGCACAGAGGTGGGGAGGGGTCACAGAGGCTGTGGAGGGCCTGGGTCCTGGCTAAGGGGTCTGGACTTGAGGCTGTGAGCCAAGTGAGCCAGCAGAGACCCAGAAGCTGAAGAACAACACGACCCACGTGCTTTTCCTTTTTTCTTTTTCCGGTGGCCACAGAGAGGACAGAGAGTTGCTGGAGGAGGCCAGCAATACCTTGAGCAGGTATTGCTGGGCGAGATGGAGTCAGAAGTAAGATTCCGTAGGATCTGATGACCTATGTGTTGGGTGTAGTGGATGAGGGAGACTGAGGATTCCCCCAGACAGACGGTGCATAGCCATGCAGAAAAGAGACGCAGGAGGAGGAAGGATGGAGACACCTTCTTTCTGGAAATGTTGAGATGCCACAGGAATTGCGCAGCTGGAGACACGGGTCTAACCACACCACCCACTCGCAGCACTCGGCCAGCATTTGGGACCATGGACACGTGGCTTCCGGAATCTGTGGGCCACAGGAACCCTGGGTACCAAGTGGGACATGGGATGCTTTTCCCCGTATTAAAAAGTCTGACTAATCCAGATGAGATCAGTTAGTGATGGCTTTGGCCTCCTGTATTAATAACTGAAAATTTGCACTTCACCCTATTATAAAGCACAAATTTGAAACTCTTCAAATGTATCCAAGTGTGAAGGAATAAAATCCACTTACATGTACAAAATGTACTGACTCTCAATGAAAGTTTGAGGTACAGGTCCCAGTGAATGACTGAGGAAAATATATATTTAAATCTTTCTAGCACTTAAAAAAATAATAAAGAAATTTTTTTTTTCCTTTTTGTCTTTTTTCGTGTCCGGCAACGGATCGCAACCCTCAGTGTCGCGCCCAGACCGGACCGGGACCGGCAACGGGATCGCAACCCTCGGTGCTGCGCCCGCACCTCGCTCAGCCAGTGAGCGGGAACCGGTCTGTATGTGGGATCCGAACCCTCGGCTGGAGCGCCGCCGCACTCCCAAGCAGTGCACTGTAGCAGTGCGCCACCGGGCTGGCCCCAGAAAATTATTTTTAAAAGGAAAACCCCACAGAGTACCTGGTGGAAAAAAAAACTGTAGAAGAACAAACACACAAATGACCAGCTCCATCCTCTCTGCACCTTGAGACCAGCATGTCCTCGGAAGAACAGAAGAGATAAGGAGACTTTCTTCTTTTACAGTCAATCCCCCTACTTCTCTCTTTTGTTTTAAACCACTTTATTGAGGTATGATTGACGTGAAAATGTTGTACCCATTTAATGTATATACTTGATGAGTCTACAGACATCTGTGAAACCACCACCACAATCTGTGCTATAAACATATCCATCACCTCCAAAAGCTTCCTCCACTCTCTAACTTACTATTTCTGTGTGTGTGACAAGGACACATAAGATCTACCTTCTCAGCACATTTTTCGTTGTATGTTACAGTTTTATCAATCAGAGGCTCCGTGCTGTACAGTAGATCTCTAGGACTATATTCATTTTGCATAACTGAAACTTTGTAAAAGCCAAGACAATAATTGCTCTCTGACCTTCCACCTGCAGTGTGCAAATAAGGGAGACGCCCCACTCCTCATGACCCCAGGTTGAAACCAATGTGGACACCAGTGACACGTGCTGCCCAACCTCACCGCACACCAGGTGGAAAGACCAGAGCTCTGAGCAGCGCCTGCCCATCCCTGTTATCACCAGGCTCCTCCACGGAAGGGCACGCCTCATACACGATGTCAAAACCAGGGCACCAGCCTTTGTCCCGCGTGAGCCAACACTACCCACCATAGTTCAAGGGAGTTTAGATAGTGAGGACCATCTTATAAAATTAAGAAACAGTTAATTCTCTTTGACCCTGGGACATCACTTTGGGTGATACTCTCTAAATAGGCCAAATATAACTTGTATAAAAATACAGCTGCACCATTTATTTATAAGTACTCAGAATTACTAGTAAGTACACAATAAATACTTCTTGAAAAAATAAATAAAAGGTCAAAAAAAAAAGAGACCCCAACAAATTATCAGCAATGATAGACTATCTAAGCAAATTACCATTTAGTAACATAATTAGTATTGAGTCTAGAGGCATTAAGAATGGCAGGAACATGACTGTTCCTACACGGAAATTTATGCATAAAATGATTTTTAAGGAAAAGGGCACAGAACAAATAATGTGCATATATGAACAGCATAGTATGCATATAATGTGTACCGATAATTAAGTAAGAATATTAGGCGATGGTTATATATCCAATATATGTTGCATTTGTTATTACCACAAATGCACAACGAAGTTGATCATCAGAACTTAAATGAATCGAATGGCCTGAATTTTCTCTCTTCTAGCACACGCTGTGGCAGTACCTTTATAAATGTTTGCAGAGGACAAGTAAACTGTAGGAAGAGACGAGGACAGAGGGATGGCTGACCTGGAGTGGGGTTCTGGGGCTGCCTGGTGTAGGAAACGTTGAACGCTGGCTCCTCCATCAGTGGTGGGGGGTACATGCGCCTCCGGATGAAGAAGCCAGCTCCGCAGCAGAAGAGCACACCCATCATCAGCAGGAACCTGCAGAGAGCACAGACGTGAGGGGAGCTCAACTCAGGCCAGGGGTCCAGCCGGGCAGAGGCTCTGAGGACTCGGCCCTGAGGACTCGGCCCTGTGACTCAAAGGCCTCGGGGTCTCCCTGGAGATCTGGAACACCAATTCCCGAATGGATGGGTCAGAGGGCGGGGCTGGGCCATGCAGCTCCCTGCCGGGAGTGCTGCCTGAGACCTGGTCCTTTCTGGACCACCTTACCCAGGGACGATCCTGCGGTGGATAGCACCTGGCAGTCACTTGGCCTGCAGACTCCTGGGATGTCCCCTGGATGGAGGCCACTGACTCTGAGAAGCTCTGAAAGTGAGCTCTCTGTTTTAAATAGCTCCAAATGGCTAGTTTGTCTCAAAGGGTTGGTGCCTTTCCTCCCCTGCCCATGGCTCTGACCTCAACTCAGTATTTTAGTCAAAACAGGAGATGCCGTCTAAATCTGTCTGAACACCACGGCTTCTTTGCCTCACTGTTTCTCTTGTTTTCCATTACTCACTGCCAAAGCTACAAGTGAGGCACAATGACCCTTCCTAGTAGTTGTCTCTATCATTACACGAGCATCCATAAAGAAACAGAAGTGTCCTTCCTGCAGCACACCTTAATCACAGAGAAACTACAGGCGGAGATCTTGACCTCTTCCTGTAAGATAAGCCAGAAGCCTGATTACACACCAAATGGAACACTTTTCCTAGACAAGAAAGCGACACTGCACCTCACGTCTCAAACTGAGAGGCAGCCAGTAGGCCGGGGGCAAAGCAGGACGGAGCCACGTGGCAGGAGACAAACTGCCAGCTCAGGGACCAGTTCTCACGTGATTCGGTCCTCACTGAACCATCAGTCTAAGAACTTATCTTAATGTAAAGGAATTTACCTGTTTTAAATTGATATGTACTGACTGCACATATTATGGGGTACAGAGGTATGCTTCAGTATAATGTGTGATGTTTGAATCCAGGGTAGCGGGTATATGCCTCACTGCAAAAATGCACCTTTTCTTTGTGATGAGAGCATTTGAGATCCTCTCTTCTAGCCATTCAATAAAGTATTGTTAATCGGGTGCCTGGCACTACTGTACACCACTAGACAATGTGTGATGTTTGAATCCAGGGTAGCGGGTATATGCCTCACTGCAAAAATGCACCTTTTCTTTGTGATGAGAGCATTTGAGATCCTTTCTTCTAGCCATTCAATAAAGTATTGTTAATCGGGTGCCTGGCACTACTGTACACCACTAGAACTTCTTTTTCCTATTTAGCTGTGATTTTGTGTCCATTAACCAAGGTCTCCCTGTACCCGTCCCCACGTCCCTTCGCAGACTCTAGTAACCACAGTTCTACTCTCTACTTGTAAAAGTTCAACTCACTTTTTTTTTTTTTTAGCTCCTACATATGAGTGAGAACATGCAGGATTTATCTTTCTGTACCTGACTTATTTCACTTAATATAATGTTCCAGGCTCATTCGTGCTGCTACAAATGACAGGACTTCATTCTTTTCCATGGCTGAGTCATATTCCATTGTTTAGTGGTACTTATTCCATATGTACCACTAAAGACTTCACTATTGGACCTCGTCAATGAATTCAGTAAAGTTGCAGGATCCAAAAATCAATATACAAAAGTCACACCTCTATACACCAACAACAAACTCCCTGAAAAAGAAACCAAGAAAACAATCCCATCTACAACAGCTACCAAAAAACATAAAACACTTAGGAATAAATTTAACTGAGGAGATGAGAGATCTCTACAATGAAAATTGCAAAACATTGGTGAAAGAAGTTAAAAGAGGACACAAAAAGATGGAAAGACATTCCATGTTCATGGATTGGAAGAATCAATATTGTCAAAATATCCATACTACCAAAGTGACCTACAGATTCAATGCAATCCCTATCAAAACACCAAGGACATTCTTCACAGAGATAGGAAAAACAATTCAAAAATCTGTATGGAACAACGAGGGACCCCAAACAGCCAAAGCAATCCTGAGCAAAAAGAACAAGGTGTGGGGCATCACACACCCTGACTTTAAAATATACTGCAAAGCTGTAGTAATCAAAACAGCATGGTATTGGCATAAAAACAGAATATGGACCAATGGAACAGAATAGAGAACCCAGAAATCAACCCACATACTTACAGCCAGCTGATCTTTGACAAAAAGGACATACATTGGGGAAAAGACTACCTCTTCAATAAATGGTGCTGGGAAAACTGGATGTCCATGTGTAGAAAAATGAAACTAGACCTGTACCTCTTGCCACATACCAAAATCAACCCAGAATGGATTAAAGACCTGAAACTGTAAAACTCCTAGAAGAACTTATTTTAAAAGGGAGGAGCTGACAATGGGGCAAGAGAATGGCTTACAAGAATAATAAGAAGAAGCAGGATGTCAGCGGGGGAAAGACTGGTGGTTAATAAAAGGGGTCCTCAGAGTGCTGTGCACTACAGGTCAACTGCTCACTAGATATTCTCTTTTGTTGGTCAATAGTTCTGGAAGCTTTCTAGGGATTAAGAGAGGAAGTTTGTGCCTTTTCTATCATCAGAAGCAATCTGGTTTCTTTAATTCAAGTTGTGTGTTAATTCCTCCTCACTGTCACCCAGCCCTCAGCAGAGCAGCTCTCGACTCTGCGTATCCCAGGGATGGGTGCAGCTACAGTGCAGACCCTGACGCCCAGACCCCACTGCAGACCACTGAATGGGAGCCTCCAGCGTGGGCTTGCCCGCAGGACGACCCACGCCAGTCTTCATCTGGCCCCGGCATGCTTTCCACAAGTCTTCCTTCTCTAAACCTGAGGATTTCATTCAGACCTCCCTGGTTACAGGTTACTCATGATCTCAGAGCTGGCAGGAACCCCTGAAAGCATTCCCTTCCAAAACCTTCGTTTTATGGTAAGGAGACAGAAGACCTCGATAGCCAGGTGAAGGGTCCGGGCTGCGGAAGCCCCTCCCTCCCATCCGCCCATCCTCCTCTCCCCCAAAGGCCCACTCTCCCCACCCCCCTCGTGTTTCTGTGTTTCCCGCTGTGCTCTTAGCACTTGCACTCTCTTAGGCTCCCTGCAGTCTGCTCCCTCTCTGAAGCTCTCTCTGAAGACACAGTCAAAAGCTTTGTAGCTTTTCCCAACTTTTCTGGCATCAGAGGCTCTGTACTTCTTCCAGAGCACCGGCTTAAAACCACCCACATGCAGGTGTCTGCTTAGACATCTGACTCTTTCAGGAGCCTCTCCGTGCGACCCCATGCAGAATACCCAGCACACACTAGACACTCCGCGTTTACTGAGGGAAGGAACGCAGGGAGCAGAATCCAAGCATCCTTCCTATTCAGCTGGGGCACCTCAGAGAACATTGAGGTATTCTCTGGCTGTATCTCCAACTTGGAACCTGTGTCAGGATCTCAACTCTAATAACTCCACCAAATCTTCTGGCATCTGGCATCTGACCTTCAGGAGCCTGACTTCATTCAGTAGGACTCATAAGAACTTCTCTATAGGGAATCCCACTAACTGTCTCACCAGGGTGCCCTGCCTCTGACAGTTGACCTGGCCAGCAGCTCAAGGACAACAGCTCACAGTTGAGGTAGAGCTTCCTGGGAAGGCCAACGGAGCCACCAGACCCTAACGGTTCTTCTGGACTCTCTCAGTCTTTTTTAAATCACCTAATGCCGGAACTTGGACAAGGTTTTTCCATTTTTTAGGAGCATTCCCACAACCTCATCGTCACTCATCTGGTGCCTCCAAACTCTTTCAGGGTCAGGGCTTCCTTCATGCCCCAACAGTCCTGCCTCCTCTACCACAGGTCCCAGGGAGAGGAACCCCAGGAGAAGGCACAGCCCAGAGCCAGACGGTGCTCTGAAATGCTGACCCTGCCCAGCGCTCCTCTCCCCGGCTTCAGTTCCAGTCCCCTCCACCTCGAGATGGACACAGAGGCATTCATATTTGGAAAATCTTAAGCCAAAAACATTCACTTTCTATCCTAGAGCTTTAGGCACTAGCAAGTCTAGGCAGGGGAGCTGGCGCTGCCTGCCCGTGCTCAGGGGATGCGCGAGAGGCAGCACCATCCCAGCAGGTAGGGCACCCGCACAGCCCGAGCTGTGGCCGCGGTGCTGGTGGTGATGGAAGGAAGCCTTGCTATTAAATTCCCGAGGCCCGTGACACACAGAGTCACAACTCCCTGCTGGCTTCCCTAACCAAAAATAGTCGTCAAGAAGGGAAGACAAAACCTCACCAAAATATCCAAGGGGCTGCTGTAAGCACAGCCCGAGCTGTGGCCGCGGTGCTGGTGGTGATGGAAGGAAGCCTTGCTATTAAATTCCCGAGGCCCATGACACACAGAGTCACAACTCCCTGCTGGCTTCCCTAATCAAAAATAGTCGTCAAGAAGGGAAGACAAAACCTCACCAAAATATCCAAGGGGCTGCTGTAACATGCTCAGTAAGGTCTTAAAACGTCAGTAAAGTCAGACTCTTAAAGTCATAAAGAAGCGGAAGTCATAAAGATAGGGAAGTCTTAACCCTCTGTGGGGTTTTCCTGATGACATCACCCCTGCATGGGAACAGAGGAAGGGGTGTGAGAAGTGCTCAGTTTCAAAGAAATCCCTTCCCACACATGCTCTGCCATCCCTGATGTCTGACGCGATCCCCGTTATCAACAGAGTCAGGCAGCGTCTCAGGGATACCCCAAACAGGCATCCTCTGAGGGCCAGGAGCCTTCACTCTGTGACGGCAACTCTGCTCCCTCCTCCAGGGGCTGCTGACATCACTCCCTCACCCCCTCTCCAGGGACAACTGGACAGACTCCAGACAGCAACTCGAACTTCCCTGGAAGAGCTGGCAGACGGACAAGGACACAGGCTGCCCACCTTGAAAGCCCAGATGCAGCTGACACACGTGACAGGGGTGATTTCCAGGCAGCAGAGACTTCACCATGGTTCTTGATTTACTGATTCTCTGATTCTTTGAGACAACCAGCATCGGCTCCATTTCAGAAGCCAGCTAAGGAGCTACTGAAGGATGAGGCTGGCATCCAGCCACCTTCCCAAAAGCCTGTGGAGGTGGGAGCGAGCTTTCTGCAAATGTGCAAATGCTGTGCGCACAGCTGCTGGGCATGAAGCCCACCCCCATGTACCTGTCTCCTTGACCCAGGCTGTCACAAGGCCATGATCCAAGGTGAAGGTGATGTAACTGAGGTGTAACAGAGCAGACAGGGCTCTTGGGGGTTGGGGATGGTGGAGAAGGGCCTCCAGAACAGGAAGGTTGCCACCTACCAAAAGTACCAGAGCCTCTGTATGGAGAGGGCCCGCACACAGCACCTGGAGCCACAGCAGTCTTCATAGGAGCGGCATCTGCAGGGAGAGAGGGGCACAGGCTGGTCAGAGTCAGGAGGGACAGCTGCTCCAGGCAGGTGTCTAGGCAGGGTTCAACGCAATCATCCTTAGACGAAAAGGACAGAACTGCCACCACAGCATTTCACAAATCTAGCACAGCTGCCTGTCATCAGTCTGCTGGCCCACACAGAAGGTGTCGAGATGACGTGGTCAGCATAACCCAAAGCTGTGCAGTAATTGCACATCCTGCGTGCCAAAGCACAAGGATTCCTTCTGGGTGGGTGTCATGACCAAAGACGGGCATTAAACTTGCCAGCTCTGCCACCACAAGGAAGCTCTACTCAGTCTTCAGTCCCCGATGACAGGGAAAGGATGGATGCCCCACTGAGCCCACTGAGGTTAAACAGAGGTTATGGAATCAAACAAATTAGGAGGTTTAGTCCTGGTCTTGCCACTTGCTAGCTGTGGGACTTCTGGCAAGTTAGTCAACCTCTGCGAACCTTGGTTTGCAAAATGGGTGGAGTGGAAGGACCCCTTCACAGTGCTGATCTAAGTTTTGAGGACATCATCCTCCCACAAAGTGTGATCACTGCTCACTCTCCTCCCTCCCCCATGTCTCCACGTGCCTGAGGCTCAGGGTCCCTGGCAGGGTGCAGGCTCGTGGGGATGTGCTCAGCAGCTGCTCCTCACCCAGAAGAGCAGCCTGGGAAAGGCCCTTGTGAGGACGGACCAAGCACGGGCTCCTTCAGCATTTCTGCCTGTAGTAGACTGAATGTCCCCCCGAACTCACTGAAGCTTGAATTGTGTCCCCCAAGTTTTATGTATTAGAAACTTGACTCCCACTGTGACTTAAGAGGGTGGGAAATCCTATTATGGTAATTAAAAGGTGGAGCCTTGAAGAGGTGACCAGATTGTGAGAACCACGCGGTAGTGACTGGACTAAAAGTGGTAGTTGGGGAGTGGTTCTGAGGGCTGTAAGGAGGAGACCACAGGAAGGGTCTCTCTCCGCTCCACCATTCTGCAGTGTGATACCATGCTGCCACTGTCACCACCAGCAAGACTCTCACCAGATGTGCTCCCTGGACTTTGGACTTCCCAGCCTCAGAAACTGTAAGCAATAAATTTTGTTTTCTTATAAATCAAGTTCCATGTATTTTGTTACAAGCAACAGAAATGGACCAGCGCACTACTCATCCCCAACCCCACACGTTTTTTGAAAAGGGAAAATGGTATGAAAGATCAACTCCTTTTGTTCTGCGCTGCTTCGGTCTTTACAGATACACTTTCACTAGAGCAACACTGGTCTGCATGGCAGTGCATGAGTTGGTGGACTGCCCTCAATAATACTAAACGATCACGTAATTTTGATCTAGGTTCCTGCCAATTTTTTATTCTCTAGAAAATACGTAGCTGGGAGAAATACACAATATAATCCAAGATCTTAAGCACTGAATTTGTAGGTTACTGCTGAACAAATAGGCTTGTTTTATGTAGAAATGTGTAGAAAACAGCTCCCTAGAAAGAACTAGCTGAAATACTGGTTACAGTGGCCGGGAACTCAGCAGATGTGAGCTCCAAAGCTGCTTCTCCCTGGTTCCACCTGGCAGGTTACTGAGGCTCCTAGGCATGGTTCTGCCTCTCTGTAAAGACCCAGCACCCAGCTGCAGCTAAATCCTCCACCATTTCACAGATAAACTGAGGTGAGAAGCACCCCCCACAACCTCCAGCAACACCTCCACACACACACAAACACACACACACACACATGCCATTCCACAGGCAATGTGGGTCTTCTCACATCCAGTCTTCCCATGGCCTATGAACATGGACTTGTACCTAGCACCTAAACTGTTGTGATTTCAATGAGAGGCTCCCATAAACTAGTGACTAAGCTAGTCTTCACTTGCTTTAACCAACCTTCTCACAGAGAAGGTGACATCTGAGCAGAGCCCATGCAGAAGTCCAGTCTGGCAGAGACCTGAGCCAGCACAAGGGCCTCAAGAGTGAAGGGGAAGGAAGTACTGGTCCCTGCAGTCTGAGCTCCAGGGGTCCGTGGCTGCATGCTGGAGAAGAGTGCTTAAGCACAGGGACTGAGGGAGAATGACACGCCCGGCATGGGGGCCATGAATCTAGGCCAGGACTGGGCCAGCAAGGGTCTGGCACAAGCGCTGTCTGCAATTCCTCCCTCCTCCTCTCCAAGGGCCTCACAGGTCTTGGACAACCTGCGTGTGTGTGCACTTACACATGCGGGGGAGCAGTCACGCAAGACAAAGGACTTCTTGCTTTTAGGGCGGGTGGAGCTTTCACCTGTAAGCTGAAAGAGATGGGACTGTTTCCTGTCACAGATTTGCAAAGACAACAGGCCTCAGCAATGATGTTAGATGCATAAGTGTGACAGTGTGGTAGGCAGAATTCAAAGATGTCCCCAAGATTCTCACCCCTTAGTGTACGTGCCCTGCATGGTCCCCTTCCCTTCAGTGTGGAGGGTCCTGTGAATATGACGGGATGGTCCCTCCCATCATTATGGAGCATTAAATAAGGCGGTATGTAATGTTAAGACTCTGCTGCAGCAGACCAGAGACTCTCCTGCTGACTTTGAAGAAGTGGCACAAGTGGGTGGCTAGAACTGAGGGTGGCCTCAAAGAGCTAAGAGCAATCCCAGCTGGACTTCAGTCCTACAGCCACAAGGAACTGAATTCTGCAAACAACCTGAAAGAAGTTGGAGGAGGACCACAACCACCAGATAACAACACTACCTTCTCTATCCCCACTTGATTTTCCTTTTCTTCCTCGGCCTTTTATCAGCTGCTGTGGAAATTCCACCCACCATGGTGACAGGGACAGAAGCAAGCTCAGGAACCCTTGGGGAAATGGCAGGAGTCCCTGAAACGACGCCCACAGACGGGCTCAGCAGCCACCCTGCAGTGGGGCCTGAAGCGCTTCTTAGTTTAACCCGGAACTTCATACTGACCAGAAACATTCCCAGAAAAGCCTGCATCATTCCACGTCAATAGTTCTCCACAGTTAGCAGATTACTTAATCATAAGAAGACAGAAATAACGCAATAATATCTGACATTAGTAAAAGTATGGTGTTCATTTGGGGTGAGCTACCAGTGCTCCAGCAACATTATACACCAGTGTTTTTCAGCAGTTGTGACCTCACTGGCAAACCGTGAAATCAAATTATTTGGTTGTATTTTACACAAGTGAAAATCGGTGTAAAAAACAATCAGAGGCATCATGTATAAGAACTGTTTTGTGGGCCGGCCAGTTAGCTCAGCTGGTTAGAGGCAGTGCTATGACACCAAGGTCAAGGGTTCAGATCCCTACACTGGCCACGCCAAAAAAAAAAAAAGAATTGTTTTGTGAAACTTGTGTTTTGGTCATACACACACAAAGGTAAGTGTGTACTAGGCTGTGACATAAAGCATATTTCTTCAAAGCTACAGTTGTGGAAGCCCCTGTCAAATGTGGATATAGGCTCAGGTGTCTGCTGTGTCCAGATGGGCTCCTGCTGGCCTCAGGCCCAAGGCCCCCGGCTATAAGGTAGCCAAAAAAAAAAAGAATTGTTTTGTGAAACTTGTGTTTTGGTCATACACACACAAAGGTAAGTGTGTACTAGGCTGTGACATAAAGCATACTTCTTCAAAGCTACAGTTGTGGAAGCCCCTGTCAAATGTGGATATAGGCTCACGTGTCTGCTGTGTCCAGATGGGCTCCTGCTGGCCTCAGGCCCAAGGCCCCCGGCTATAAGGTCCCTTCTTACAGTCAACAGCGCTGGCTAAGGTCTCTTTCTAGTTCGCACCTTCTGCCTGGGTGACACTGTGTTTGGTCCGATGGTTTTTGCCATTTTTGCTTCTCATTCTACTATATAATGCCCTGCAATGGGTCCACACCTTCTGCCTGGGTGACACTGTTTGGTCCGATGGTTTTTGCCATTTTTGCTTCTCATTCTACTATATAATGCCCTGCAATGTCAAACTCTAAAAGGCACAACTCTCGCAAAGACCCTCCCAAGTGGGAACACCCCCTGCTCACCAGCCTCTATAAACGACCTCTGCTGTGGATGCTGACAGAGGGTGAGGTGGCTGAGGAGGGTGCGGAACAGAGATGACAGATGCCTGTGGCTGCAGGAACCAGGCTGTGGTCTTCCCAACCCGGTGCCATTATTCTCCCATTGCTCTGCCACCCTTGCCACCATCACGATCCCTGTGTGTGTCTCTCTGGGTTTTACCCTGGACTCTGACAAGAGCGGCCTCGGCTCTGGGCACAGCGAGGGCTGAACGGGCACCTGGTGTCCATCTGATCCTGGTGATCATGAACTTGGCATAAAGGAAGAAAGCAGGTATAAGGTAATTAATTTAGAGACTGGATCTTCTTTCAAGAGCTGAATTTGTTAAAATGATTCCCTTTCAGAGTTACACTTACAACGAAGCCTTTGCTGCTTTGAAAGCTAAGCCCTGCAGCATCCTGTTCTCCACGTTAGAGGAAGCAGACAAGAATCTACCAGCTCTCAGACATAGTTAGAGCCCCTTGCCTAGAATCCTGGGAGATTTTACACACACACACACGTGCACACACACACTCAGCCTGACAACTTATCTATCCTGGAATATTGGGACTATAATGGATTACAAGTTCCTAATTCAAATTCCTCTCTGTTGGCATGATTCAACATCTAAGTGCTTTATCTATCTCACTTTTCAGGATCCAAATTCAGAACACCAGCAGCAAATAACATTATCAACTGATATCTGCTTTCTTCCCTCAAAACACAGAGCATCCTTCCTTTATGCTCCCTTCTTCAGCTGAAGACCATGTGCTCTAAGCAGTCCTTCCCCGGCTCCCAGTGTAGATGCCGGAAGCACCAGCACTCGGGGGAGCACACAATTACCCACGGGGGACCCTGTCATCCCTCTTCTCTCTGCTGCTTTCTTCCAGTGAAGCTGCTGGTAAACTGGAGCCCTAAGCACATACCCGCTGACATTTCAAATAGCTGCAATTATAAAAAGAATG